CTGTGGATTAATCAACAAATTTTAAATGAAGTTGACCACAAAAAGGATCTATGGATACAGTATACCCAAAACGGTTCTCAAACTGCTTATAGCTGCATACAGGAAGGTTAACAACCAACTTGTAAACAAAATCTGAAACTTCAGAATGGAATTTGAAAGAGGGATTGTAAAAAGTGGACCTTAATCATTCTTTTCTTATGTACGCCAACAATTACACTCAACAGTTTCAGCTCCCCCATTGTTAAAAGATGATAGTGGAAATATTACATGCGACCAAAATGTAATCGCCAATTTATTTACTCAGCAATTTAAAAAGTCTTTTGTAAAAGAACCTTCAAATATATCAATCCCTGACATAGAAATGCCAAGAATTGTAAATACAATAGAACTGCCAACATTCACACCAGAAAAAGTATCCAAAACTTTAAAAACTTTCAATGACTCTACTGCTATGGGACCAGATGCTTTGCTGTCAATATTGCTAAAAGAATGTAGTAATGTTCTAAGCCACCAACTAGCGCACATCATGAATTTATCCCTTATTAATGGATGATTACCACAACAATGGAAAGAGGCTCATATCACTCCCTTATATAAAAGGCGACAAGTGCATTGCTGCTAATTACCATCCTATAAGCTTAACAAGCATAGTTTGTAAAATAATGGAGAAAATTATAGCAGCTGAGCTGACAGGTTTTAACAATGTAGAAAACATTATTGATGAACAGCATAACTTCGTACCAAAGAGATCCACAGTTACAAATTTTCTCATGTGCCTTGACAAATTGACACATATAACTGGGATAAACGCGACCCTACTGATGTGACATATCTAGACTATGAGAAGGTATTTGATTGAGTCCCAATTAAAAGGCTAATAGCGAATTCGTAAGTAATAGAAAATTCAAAGCAATAGTAGGCGATACCCTGTCAGATGACTTTGACGTTCACAGTGGCGTCCCACAAGGCTCCGTTGTTGGGCCAATTTTGTTTGGTGTCTTCATCACGGACTTAAAGACTGTCATTCAATCAGACCTGTCGATGTTTGCGGATGGTACCAAACTTATAGGAAATCCTCTTATTGCTCACAATACCATACAACAAGATTTGGACCACATTGTAGAATGGATCATAGCCATAACCAAAAGAGCAAATTCTATGATGTACATGATTAGAAAAGCATTTCACAGTATTATAACAATATACAAAACCTATATACGTCCATTGCTGGAATATGCTTTTCAAATTTGGTCCCTATTTTAAAAATTACATTCTTATGTTGAAGAAGGTTCAGAGGAGAACAACAAAAATGGTTCAGTCCTTAAAAAAGAAATCTTACGAAACCCAAGAAACTAAAATTGGCTACTTTGGAACAATGAAGGCAATGAGAAGATCTCATAGACTTACAAAACACTCAATGAGCACTACAATGTGCGTAACAAGAAGGATATGTACCTAATGAATCACAAGAGAAAATTTAGAGGTCACTCTCAGAAGATAACCAAGCCTCCATGTGCTAGCAATCCCACAAAACACTTCTTGCAAGTACCAAGTATGAACTTGTGGAATTCGCGCCCAGAAACCGTAATTAGTGCTCCAACAGTGAATAGTTTCAAAGCTTGATTTGATAAACATTCTGAAAACTAACAATATACAAGTGCAGTGATATACACACATCAGCTCGTACAGTTGCTAGTGTATTATTTAAATCATAATAAATTTGCCCAACATGCAAGAGAGTGTGCACAGTAATTAAAAGCTGTCAATGTTATTTTCTCATTGGTACCACTGAAAACCAATCTCCTTAGACATCTCAGACATTTTCACACACTTATCAGAGAGCTATAACAATACCAGATAACAGAAAAGGTGCTTATTTATCTATCACATTTAAGAAGTGTTTTATGTGATATTAAATTAATACTAAATAGATATTCTGAGATCAAACCTTCCTGGCCACAATCTACAACTATTGTAGTAAGTTATTTATTACTTGTAATAAAACTTTAGACTAAACTACAGCCTACTAAGGCTGGGGTGGCTCTACAAATATAAAAATTATGCAAAAGCATTAAATTTTATAGCCAGTGAATGGCCCGCGAAATGGCCATAGTAACAAAAACTATAGCAGTAACTGTTTTGAATATAGAACAGCCAACGACAGACATGGTCATGAATAATTCCCAAGTCGTACGTCTTTAAATTTTAAATTGGGTACGTACCTTCTCTGGCTTTCAAGTAAACTGTGTTGGCGACGATGTTCTCTAATTCCATCAGTTCCAGTGTGGCGGATTATATCGTAGACCCTCCAGGAAGCAAAAATCCGCCGCTGCGGCCGCTCCGCCGCCGTCCCCCCACTCGTAAAGCTTCCCATCAATGTGCCACCGCTGTCCGGCTCACAACACAGAACGCACGCACTTCGCACTCTTTAAATGCCGCACATAACACTCTAACGCACACTTCACGCTAAGGACTGCGGCCACAGAGCCTCGGCAATAAACACGCAAGCCTCACACGATCCTCAGGGTGTGGTGAAGGATATCATTACAACTCTACGATAACGCGCCGGCTGCTTCGGAGTCATATACCCACTGCGAGAATAAACGGATAGTTTCTCTCAATTTGTACATATACAGCAAACACGCCCGCAAATTACGGCGATATAATGACGACAAAATACAATACGCTACAAAATCCTACTACGATATGGTAGGGTAGGAAATAAATCCAGTTGCCAGCGTTGCCTTTCAACAGTCTACCACGGGTTGATTTTGTTCAAAAACTCGCCTTGCATTTTTTATATTTATTACGTTATTATTGATTATAAATTATTGATTATTATGTTATTATTGATTTGATTATAAAAATGTTTATATCTTGGTTTAAAGAATTAAGCTATCGGTGGTGCGCGGCGGATCAACGAGCAATAGAATGCAGCATACTCGGCCTGAGAAAAATTAAAAATTTAGGAGTGACAGTATTAGAAGATGAACCAAACTAATCGACATACTTTTAAAGGTAGACCAAGCAATGTGGAGATGGAGTGGGCATCTGCGACGTGGGCAAAAATAGTGGAGCAAAGTAGTTACAAATTCACACGTGATGGAAAACGCGATGTAGTGCCTCAACATCAAAGATAGTGTGCACAAAAAGCCCGATTGGCAAATTGTTTCACCACGACTGCTAGTATTATAATGTATGCCATGGATACCATAAAAAGAAGCATTAAAGTTATGAAAACTAGCTTATGCTGACTGCGGGTCCCTATTGGAGAAGACTACTCTTCTTGATAGAGATCATCATTATTCAGATTAGATCATCATTGGAAAAATTTAGAAAGGGTCATGACCCTTGTCATGTTACACTGTTAAGAGATTTATTATTATGTAAAAAACAAATAAAATGAAATGTAAAATTGTAATGTAACATTTTTAACTCAGTTTAAATAAAATAAATAATGTTTTTAAATAAAGTTATATTGTAATCCTATTGTTTACAAACGCACTTTAAATGAAATTTAAGCAAACGGGAAGTTTATGACCGATATTATTTTATTAATCACGTGTTCGTTATTCTATCAGTCACACGTCTTAATTTTTTCTGTAACTATTTGAGTAGTTTATCTAATATTTTTTTGTTTCTTTTTACGTTTTTTTATAGGCAGAATTTATACCAGTGTACTGACAAAAAATATCTTATTAAATCGTATATCAGAAAAAAGACTGTGCGTGCTGCGTATTCGTCTTTTTTTGAAACATTAAAATATGAGAAAATTTGCTATTGATGCGCCTGTAAAATTAATTTTGCGTTTATCTCAGCACAATGTAGTAATGCCTTATCTAACCCAAAATAAATCTATCGTAGTAAACTTGCGATTAAATGGCAATAAAATATGTGTCAAATCTGATAGTGCCACCAATATAACGTTAGAGCTGCGTTCAACTTAAAAGTTCACAACTCAAATTCAGAAAGTTGCATCCGCAACTGACAGCTGTCAACGTTTCAAATGTGGTACCAAGTTTTACAATCACACTATTAAAATATAAGCACATACTTCTATCTTAAATCTCAAATTAAGACTTAATTTACCTACTTCTATTCAAAATTATTTCGCAATGTTATTTATACAGTTCATTAACTAAAAATAACATACATTAATTATAGTTCATATCTTCCGAAATGTGCACATTTTTTTTGGATACCCGAACTTAATAGAACTTTGAATTGAACAATATTTACTGTCATTCCCACAACTGATGTAACCATACCGATTGCATATTGTAACATTGGTAGACGACTTTCTCACATAATAACCTAATAAATAATAATTACTCTTAAAACAAGATATTGCAGTACCGTAGGCAGTAGGTAGTCATACGTTTAATTGTGTGCTTTTTTGAAATACTACCACATCTATTTATAATATTTTCGTCCCCCTAAATCATAATTTTTGATCACTGTGCGACGCACTATATTTTTGACGATGACGTCTTGGGTTGTTTTTAAAAAAAATAATCGTCCTAAAAAGTGAAGTGAAAAATAGTCGTCAAATCAAATCGCTTTGATTAATTCGTTTCTTTTTGTCAATGTAATTAACCGTTTACTTACTAAAACATATAGCATAATAAATTTGATTTATTTAAGATAATCATACTGTCCCAAACCAACCAATCAACCTTAGAGCATTTAAACAATGCTTGATTGCTCAAAAGTGCTATTATGCACTTTGAAACTGGTGTACTAAACGTCTTTTCCTTCTTGAAGGACAAGTCCTTATTGAAAATTTGAATTTAAAAAACCGGAGAAAACTTTTCTTCGATGCGATGATAAAAATGCAAGGTGGCTCGAATTATGTGTCCGGGAGTGTATATATACTCGAAGGTAAATTCATAGATTGACGATCAATAAAATAGTACCACACCGAATAATGTGCTTGGGCTTGGCAGCCAGTTGGCGGTTGCTATCAAAGCTTGCTATGATTTCACGGGATTCGCTCTGGGATTTTTGGAGGGAAAAGTGTCGTTTTTATCTATAAATCTAGTTTAAAGTGGAATAGGATAGTGCTATTGTGCCTTAATCGAAGATTAAAACGCGAAATTGTACGAATCTCGAACTAAATACAGGTATGTATCTGCCCGTTCTAAGGAATCCCGAGCCAATCCAAGCACGCCGCCTCAAATTGCCTATCCCCTTTGTGGCGGCCATATTTACAGAAACATAATTAAACGAAGACATGGCTCAAAAGATAATAATGTACCAAGACTTGGCTGTATGGTGTAAAACTTTTGCCTTTTCCTTTATGAAAAGGAGAAAAAAAAATTATTTCACGTGCTCCTTCAAATTTTACTCAAAAACTTCAATAATATAGTGTCCTATCCGGTAAATATATGGTGCAAGAAAGTAATGTTTTTTAAATAATTTTTTTTCGACATTCGTGTCTATAATGAACGTAGATCCATGTTCGGTATGTGGAGGTACAGACTTAAATCTCGTGGATGGTTACTATTATTGCGTAGAATGTGGTACTCAAGATGTAAACGCAAGGGAGACGGTGGTGGAACACACGATGCTGGCTGATGGGACCTTCGCTCACTTCGCTACAAAAAAAATTGTAACTGTTCTGAAGGATGGAATTGAAAGTGAGGTTATAAGCCGGTGGTTTGTTTATAATGCATGCGAAAATGAAATTACTTCACACCACACCAGTCTGTTAAATTCAGCCTAACCCAGATTTGAGCTAAATGTACAAGTTAATTTCTTAACCCTTAACCACTTACCACAGGTCTCTCAGACACCGTTGAAGTTATTTTTGTTAATATTTCGGCGCGAACGCATCGTTCATTCTCGCGCGTTCATGTACCTTCCCCCCGCGCTCGTCAGTACCGCGTGAGCCACCGGCGACGTCACAGGTGCCCGCGGTTAGCCAAGGTAAGTATCCAAACATCGGCAGGGGTCTGTGTGACCTGAGGTAAGTGCTTACGTTATTATTTTCTAAATAATATTTTAACTTTTATTTATTCATTTTAGGTGAATAATGGCTGCTAATGACGAGCTTATTGCTAGGTGGTTAGAAGAAGTTCCGTCAGATGAAGAGGACCTGGTAAATGGAGTTTTTAGTGATGTTGAAGATGATGTTGGTGACGGCCACGTCCTAGAAGAAATCAGCGGCTCCGATTCTGAAATTGAAGGTGAGGAAGAACCAATTTTAACTAATCTTCAAACTAGAAATTCGCCTTCCGTATCGTCTGTTCAAACCTCATCAGACGATGATGTGCCACTGTTAGAGTTGAGGTCTCGTCCCAGAAAGAAGAATTTTTTTGGCAAGAATCGATTTCATTGGTCTTCTGAGCCTCCACATTATCGTTCCAGAACATTACAACACAATATTGTACTGGAAAAAGAAGGTGTAAAGCCAGAGTACAGAACGGCTATAAACGCTTCTTCTACTCCACTTGATATCTGGAGTAAATTTTTTACTGATGATATTTTGAATAAAATTGTACAACACACCAACCAAAAGATTCGCGAAATAAGACCGAAATACAATAAGCAAACTAATGTTCAAGATATAGATTTGATAGAACTAAAAGCATTCATTGGATTACTTTTCTACACTGCCATATTCAAAGAAAATAGGGAACATTATACATCATGGTATAAGACGGATGGTAGCGGCAGAGAAATATACAGGTGTATCATGAGTAAAAGTCGTTTTGAAGTTTTACTAAACACTATACGCTTTGATGATGCTACTACAAGAGCGGCACGGCGAGAAACTGACGCCTCTGCACCTATTTCAGAGCTTTTTGACAGCTTCATCAAACAGTGCCAAGCTGTTTACTAGATTGGTAGCTACGCATGTGTGGATGAAATGTTATTAGCCTTTCGAGGACGGTGCCGATTCAAGATGTACATGCCAAAGAAACCAGCCAAATACGGCCTAAAAATATTATGCATTACAGATGCAAGGACTGGTTACCTTCTCAATGCATATATCTACTTAGGTAAAGACTCTGATGGCCTAAATTTGCCTTCACAATATAACCGACTGAAGAAACCTACACAGGCAGTAATGAGACTAATTTCTCCAATAGAAGGGTCTAACAGAAACGTAACCACAGATAACTGGTTCACGTCCCTAGAGCTTGCGGATTTACTAAAAGAGAAACAACTGACATTAGTGGGTACTCTGAGAAAAAATCAGCGAGAAATACCATCAGAATTCTTGCCCTCTCGTTATCGACACACTGAATCTTGTCTGTTTGGATTTACAAAAGATGTCACATTAGCATCGTTTGTTCCCAAACCAAATAAAGCGGTTATAATGCTCTCAAGTATGCACCATTCACCAGAGGTCGATGACAGCACAAAGAAGCCAGAGATTATATTATTTTATAATAGCACTAAATTTGGTGTAGATTTGCTTGATCAGAGATGCTCAAACTATTCTACGGCCCGTCGAACACGCCGATGGCCTTTGGCCATATTTTATAGGTTACTCGACGTGTCGACCTCGAATGCCTATGTTGTAAGCTTATCAGCCCAAGCACAGAAGAAAGAAACCAGATTCCACTTTATCAAGATGCTGGCAGAACAACTCACAAGACCTTACATGGAACGCAGAGTAAAAAGTATTCATATTCAACGGGACCTCAAATTTGCTCTCCGTCGGATCCTGCAAATCCATGAAGCAGACACACCAGCTGTTGCAGGTGGTAGCTGTGATAAGCTGGAAATACGTAAGGTGTGTTCCACTTGTGACCCAAAGAAAAAACGCAAGACACAATACCTGTGTTTCAATTGTAAAGTTTCAATATGTCTCGAATGCTCAAATAAGCTGTGCATTCACTGCCGCGAGAATCGCTAAATAACTACCTTGCAATTTTGAAAAAAAAAAGACAATAGTGGCACCAAAATATTTTTTTTATGTGTAAAATATAGCAAACTTTAGATAATTATAAGAAAATGTATAATTTATAGGTTCCATTATTTTTGATCTCATTTCCAAATAAGTCGTTACTTTTTATTATAATTTAGAGGTCTAACTAGAAATTTTGTTATGTTTCCAAAAAGATTGATTTTATTTCGTATTTTTTCTTGTAATAAATACTGTTATACATTGTAAATTACTGTTTTATTTGAATTAATCCACAATCTTCAAATTTTAATCATAATTGAGGCATTCAATGCGAGGTGTCTCCTAGACGTGTGGTAAGTGGTTACGGAAGCAAAACTAGTGGTAAGTGGCTGAGGGTTAAGATACCTCACCCCCAACCAACCATTTGGTTCTGAGTAGGTAAATGAGTTATACAAACTTAACCCTTAACTTGTGAGTCGTAACATTAGTTTTATTATGTTTTGTAAAAAGTCATGGAACAAAAGTTATTGTTTTCATGTTAGTAACTGCCTCTGTGGCCGAACGGTTACCATGCCCGACTGCCACGCAGAGGTCCCAGGTTCGAGAAATATTTGTATGGCCTGCATTTAATACTCTCGTGAGTTTGGGTGTAATTTGTGGTTGTCTACGTGTATGTCCATGGCACCCGCGACCCAGGGTTTCCCTAGTGCGGGGCTATGTTGAGTGTGTGCGTTGTTACATGTTACAATAGTCCTTGGTTGTCAGTATTTTAAAAACAACTCTGTAACTTAAATACAGACTACAAATTTCAACCATTAAACTGGAATTTCTTTACACTTTTCTGTTAAATGTGTAAGAAGGCTCTCAAAATCAAAAGGTCCTCTAGGGAGCCAGGTATCTTAGGGTCGTATAATAGAACTCTACTCAATGCTCAAGTCAGGATTTGAGTATGGTTTAAAGCACTCTAAATCATACTCAAGTCCCTGCTGTTAGGGTCGTAATTCCAGTGCTTGTATTGCCAGTGCAATCCTGACTTGAGCATCGGGTAGAGTTCTAAAATATGACCCTTAGAGTATTGACTGTACAATTCACTGTAATCTGAAGACATCATTTGGCACATAGGGCAAACCAGATGGCATCAGCTGTAAATGACGTGGTTAAATTTAAGGTACTATTGACTCACTTGAGACTCTTGTTTCAATTGAGGGCAGAGCCAGGAGACTTATTGGTGATGATAAGGTTGAATCTAAACTTCATAGCTTAGCCCATTGGCGCAAAGTTTCCCGTCTGTCAGTTTTTTTATAGAATATATTTTGGTGAGCGTGCCCATGAGCTCCATCAGCTCCCGCCTGCCCCCTTTTACCATCAGACATCCAGACGTATGGCGGGATATCATCCTTACTTGGTCGATATTCCCAGCAGGTGCACTAAGCGCTTTTCATCATCCTTTATTATGCCCAGGAGAGGAACCCTGCCTGTGACTGTGTTTCTGAACTCATACAACTCGGGTATCTTTAAGGTGAGACTGAATAGGCACCTTCTGGGCGACCTCGTTCCATCATAGATCCTATCTTTGCTCCAGAGCTAGGTAATGGTCAAGAGCATGTCCTTTTAATTAAAAAAAATCCTGGTTGAATTCTCAATGTAACCAATAGAGTAAAATGTTTTAAATTTTTTTCTGTTGTAGATACATACTACTCCTGGAGCTAAAGCCCTGTTCAGATGGGCACGTCTATTGTTTCTCAAGCTAACTGTCTCTAATGTAGGTCCTCTGGTGCTTATGGGCACAGGAAAGTCCCTTGTAACCACCATCTAGTGGCCCACCAATCTTTTATGTGTGGCCCAAAACATTGTTATTAGGAAGTTTCTTTTGAAACAAAGTTTCAAAGTTTTAAAAATTTTGAACAAGACATATTAAGGTTTTGTTTTGAATCTAAATATATCCAATATTTAGGTTTTGTGGCCATGGGGACGAAATGTAGAACCAGGTAGCCATTAACTCTTTTGAAATAGGTAGATGACCTATAAAAAGGTCATCTCTCAAAATGTAATATAGCAAATATATGTGTGGGGCCCAAAGGAAAAAAATTTAGTGTAGCTAGCCTAGAGCATTAAATTTAAAGTTGTTAAATCTGTAACTCTGCTATAATATTATACTTTACTTTTTTATATACTTTTTATTTATTATTGGCAGTCAATAATATATATTTGACAGTAAATATCCTTAAGAAATATTATGCACACCTTTTTTTGAAGGGCAATATAGTTAGGATTCTTTTATGTTAATTTTCAGTGAGTCCAGAGTGGTACAAATGGCATGCATATAACTTCATCCTTCGTAGGCTGACTGATGAGCTGCTGGCTCTTGGAGCAGCCCCTTCTGTCAAGCAGAAGGTGCTCTGGATATGGATGCAGTACATCAAAATGTTTCAACAGAAAGAAGACTTAGGGTAATTAGTTTTATTTAGGGTAATTAGTTTTATTTTTCACTAGAAGGCTTATACACTGGTATTGATTCAAAATGATTTGAGATCCCTAGATAAGTTATACAATTATATTAAGTTTATAGACTTACCATTATACCTTTAAAGATCTTCTACAAGATGGCCCACAATGATGACTGTTATTTACCTAAAATCTTGTTATCAGAGATACATAATATAGCAGTAAAAATATTGTTTGAAAATAAATTATTAAGTAATTTAAAAGAAATAATAGTAAAGCATAGGCTAATAAAGTGATCACACCATTTCAAAATGAACTGCTTTTGTTCTCAAATAAGACCAATTGCTTATTTATTTACTAATATTATTATTGTCAAAAACATAACATTTAAAAAACAAGGAAGCCTTGTCTAGAAAATTAATATCAAAATTTAAATAATTCAATTTACTTGCTAACAGGAAAAGTCAGTTCCAAGAAGATGAGGAAGATCAAGATGAAGAAAATCAAAGTCTAGGTGTAGCTGGCAGTGGAGATAACCAAAGTGTGGCTGGCAGTATAAAAAACCATAGTGTATCTGGTAGTGCGACAAGTTCCAGGTCAAAGATAATATTTGAAGAAGATTTGGAAGAAAACAACAGTGTTCTTGATGATACTCTTCGCCAAACAATGGAGAAAGGTGTTGACGATTATGACTCAGATATTGAAGACATCAGACCCAAAAAGAAACAGAAAATAGAAAAATTCAAGCATGACATCAATGTTGTCACAAAAGGTGTCTTACTTGCTATACTTTATGTAGCACTCAATTTAGATCAGAGTGAAATCCAACTGTCTCATCTTTGTAGGTTCATCAGAGAGGGACGACTAAGCATCATGGATTGTAAGAAATTTGTGCCAAAAGAAATTAATATAAGCTCTACAACACATTGGAAAAGTTTTATCAAATGCACTAAAGAATATACGCCAAATTTAATAAGAGCAACTGCTATGACACTCTTCAAAAGGCTTGACTTAGGAAAACCTTTGGTTCCTGATATAAGAAAAATTGTGCATAACTTTATTAAGGAGTTGTGTTTGCCAAATGACTTTGAAGGTTTGGTTTTCTCATTAATAGAAGGCATTCCATGCAATTTCGCAGAAATCAAAATGAAAGGAAAGAAAGCTACTTTAGAAACAGTAAGAATACCAGATTATGAAACTGTGATCATGTCTTATATAGTTGTTGCATTGAAAATGTGCTTTGGTCTGGATGATTTGTATGAAATAGAATTGTCTGAAGCTATAGATAAGGTCAATCAAGAAAAAGATTATCAGAAATCACATAAATTAGGTAGATATTCAAATGAAACAGATAGGCTGTTCTCATTTAGAGAATGGTGCAATTTCTTGCAGTTTAGAAAAAGTATGTTGTGCAAATTTTACTTGCCAATGGCTCAACAGCATAACTTGGAAGTTGATGATCATATTTTCATGGAACATTTACCTGAAAGACCAAAACGGAAAGTGGATCTTTCTGATGAAATCACTTTAGACATTTTAAACAAGATACCTTTAGAAGACAGTGGTAGTGTGATCCCATTTTCTGAATTTCCACCAACATTAACACCACTCTCAAGCTATATAGAAATTATTTTAGATTATTATCAAGACCCAGAACTTAAATTGTTATTAAGTGAAGACTTCACTCAGTACTCTCTAAAATATACTTGCCTAGAACTGAAACTGCCTTATGAAAAGAAAATGTTAAAAGGAGTTAAAGATGACAATAAGCAAGTGATTGTTGAAGTAAAGAGTGAATTGGTTAGCAGACAAGCTGATACCACAATGGTGTACGTGAGAAACTGCGAAAATAAGAACTGGTTGAAGACAAAACCACCCACAATTGATCATGTGACAAAAGTGAGAGCAGACGAGGATGATGACAAAAATAGTGATCATGGTTATGATTCAAATACAGAAAATGTTGATGGTAGTGAAAAGAGCGATGAAACTGAACGTGAAAGAATATTGGAATATGTCAAAGAAGAAGACCTGGAAATAAATATATTTGATGATCAATTCGACGATATGGAAACTAAAGTGTTCAATGAGTTAGATGCCGAGTCTAGGCTGTATGAAGAATCACATAGAGAATTTCAAAACAGTACAATAAATATACCAGATCTTCAAAACGACAAAAACACAATTCATGATAGTAAAAGTGATATCCACGATAATGTGAGTGAAGTAGGAACTTTTACGAGTTATGAATTTGATCCAGCAACTTTCGATAAAGACAAGACTATAGAAGAATTAATTCTGTCAGCTTGTAAAAAATATAAAATTCCAGTACCACCAGAATACAGCAATAAAAAACCTAGAAAAAGGAAAACACCTTTGATAAACACAGAAACAGGATGCTCGGAATCTAAAAAACGAAAAACTGAGGGAGCAAAGCGTGGTGAAACTAGGAAAGAGATTGAAAGAATATTGACTGCATATTACTCGAATATGGAGAGAAATGTTTTGGGCGAACTAGCAGAACATGTTAAAATTGTTATAAAGGACTTGGATACACAAGAGTTTGATGAACCGGCTGTGAATGATGATGACCGCGACACATTAGTTCTAAGAGATTTAAGCTCAGAACAAAATTTAAATGATGACTCTTTGAGAAAGGAAGTTGATTCACAAAGTGAGGCAGCAACGAATAAAGACAATACAAACGACCCATCGGAAAACAGCGTTCTAGAAACAAATATTGAAAATACATTAACTTCGGAGGATATGCCACCTAAAAGCGATCCAAAATTCGACGAAAAAACTCACGACATCAAGCAACTTTACATTAAATTTACAGAAGAATTTGATTTTGATGATTATTTAGATGATGGAGATCCAGAAATAACCGAAATTATTACAAAGACTATCGAAAATTATGCTAGTACTCGCTGTAAAGAAACATCCCTTTCAGATGAGGACGACATTAAAGAAACGGCAGATTGTTTAAAGGAAAACAAGACGAAAAAAAGAAAGAAAGAAACAGAAAGAAAGAGATGGGAAACATTTGTAAAGTATCCGCATAAAATCAAAGAGTTTTATTACTGGCGAAGGAACTGCGAGTGGATGAAGCGAACTTTGAATATACAACAGAAATTCGACTTAGAAGTTAAGGAAAGTCTGCCAAAAAGTTTCAGTTTTGTGATCCAGGAATGTGCCTCTATTGCAAACTGTTCAGTGTATATGCTTTATAAATGTATGCAAACTTTAGAGTCTCTGCTTTAATTTGATTCTCATATGAAGTAAGGCTATTGTTTATGGTTCTATAGTTAACTTTACTTTTTACGTTTCATTGGTTAACGAAAACTCTGTTTTAATAATAAATAATAATAATAATAAATGTTTATTTCAGTAATACAATTAACTTTACATTAACAGTGGATGGTACCTTCTATTAAGCTTATCAAGCCTGTGTCAGAAGGCACCGCTCTTCCATAGCTGTAAATGCATATTTAACATTTTTAACTTATACTTAATGTAGTGTTTAATTTTTACATTTCCAAACATCGACAGAAATGATTAATGAAAATGTTTTAAGTGAACATTTTTATGAAAATCATGTCTTATATTTTTTTAATATTTATTGTGACTCTTATATTTATTACTTTATTATTTATTTGTTCAATTATTTAGCTAAAAGATTCAGGTGTTATTATAATTTTAAAAGAATTAAGAGATATTTGAAAAAAAAAAAAATCTACGTGTTATCCGCCCTTGTTGCACCAAACCGGTAAATTAATAGGGGGTTCGTTTTATTATTGGTTTTTAAGGAAATAAATTGTGAATCTGTCTCATTTAAGTTACATTAATGAAATTCGCTGGATTGAAATGAATCGACAGTATCATCTTCAGCAGTTCTCACTGGCCTCCTAGACGCTCCACGTTGAGGAGGAAGTCGCTCGTTTCAGACATTTTTTTACATTAAAATAAGTTTTTACAAACTGCCCCGGTGGTAACGGGTCCAAAATTCAAACGCACATTTATAATCTATGCCACAAGTGTGGAGTGCCCCTTCCAAATGAATGAAAATTACGCCATGTAGAAGGGAGATCGAAATGAGTTTTTGTCACAAGATATTAGACAGTTTTTTACTTATTTTGATGCAATAACATCAAAACGGGCTTTGTTGTTCCCAATGCTTTAATTATACAAATACATAGTGTGAACTACTTATTTATCAATGAACAGAAAGTGATTGAGCAGCAGCGCAGCGCGTCTTGGAACATCTTTTAAATCACAGTGTGTATGTACATACTGTGATTTATCACATCCGTAATTAATGCAACCGGTAAGTATACAGATGTTTTTTTTTTCGCTTATTCCCAGTCGTCACCACTTGCGATAAATGGAAAAAAAAAGTGTTACCTGTAGGGTTAGCATGACAAGTCGCGACTTGCGCGAGAGCGACATAAAGCGCGAGATCTCTATGCGCGAATAGCAGTAACTCGCGCCCCGCCCTGTATGGCTAGCACGACAGGACGCGACTTGCGCGAGAGCGACATAAAACGCGAGACCTCTATGCGAGAATAACACTATCTCGCGCTTGTCGCGCCCTGTCGTGCTAGCCCTACAGGTGGTGACAAACGGGGTAAAAAGTTAATTATTGCCTGACAATAATTAACTTTTTTCCCTTTTTTTGATTTCTACTGGCGACAAATGGGAAAAGAACCCATATGTTACCAGGTGGTGACAAATGGGATAAAAAGGTCTGTTGTTGCCACTGGCGACAAATGTCTTGGAACTGTCATCGAAGAAGTGATAACTTTTGTCTTCGGACTCATGCTAAGCCTGGTGGTAACATATGCGTTTTTTCCATTTGTCGTCATTGGAAATCACCACTGGCCACAACTGCGATTTTTTTTATCCCTTCACCACTTTTCGTGAAGGGATCATTTGAACGTATGGAACGAAAAAAATCGGGACCTCCAAAGTTGATTAAATTCGTAAAATATTTTTCATAGAAAATGAATAAAATTTACCATTTTTTTTATAAGTATGGTTTCATTTTATGGGAAGAAAAACATTGGGACAGCAGAAGTTGGTCAAACTTTTTATAAAAAGTTTTTTTCATATATTTAATTAGTCAATTTAATCGTTTTGTACGAAAAATAATTTTATTTTTATCAACTGCTGTACCGATTTTGTCATCCCATGCAAGTCAATGATCCCTTCATGAAACTGACTTGATTAGCACTAACAATTTTGTTAATTTTTATAGACAACTCACGCTTAACCAAAACATTTACTATGCGAATATTGTTTTCACAAAACAAGACTTAATGGTTCATAAGACAGTTTCCTTGTATCTTCGATGGTTTGGTATCAAAGGTGCCCATCACGCTTGCCGCATTTCCTCGCTTTATGGCAATAGACAATCTTTGCGCCAAGAACAACACGGCGCGAGGCGGGAGTCATCTCCACTCTCTCTAAGCCATCGCCCGAATTCCGCTAATATATGTAAAATTAAAATAGGAGTTGGCCTAAACTTCTTGTAGTAGCAGGCCATAAACCTTATTAAATTTCTTAAGAAGCAGTGTCGAAGACATTTTGTAATGGAATCCAAGAAAGAAATTACTCTCAGTATTGGCTGTACGGCACATTAGTGCCTTTGCCATTGCCAATGGAAAAAAAACGAAAACCAACCAAACTATTATAAGGAAAATAAACATTCGAAAGCAAGAGAATTGCATGAAATTTTTTAAACAATATGAAGGATCCAAAGTATTCACAGGCTCCTATAGAGGATCTGGCGGAATTGCGAAGCTACTTTTCTACTCACGATGTAGTTCGAGAGTACATTGCTCACAGTTCGAAAGTGCATTCTGTTGGCTGGTCTTGTGACGGTAGAAGACTTGCTTCGGGATCTTTTGATAAAAGTGTCGCTATTTTTAATTTGGAAAAAAATAGACTGGTGAGTAATGCACCTTGTAAGGCTCAATTTACGTCTGGTTGTCTAAAATCCAACGCCGGTAAAAGTTAGGTTAGAATAATGTTTTTTTTGTAAACTTGCTTGTGTTCGGTTACTGTTTTGATGGAAAACACGTAGGAAATATGTTTTCCCGCACATCAAGCGTCTGTTCAGTGTTGTTTGCTCGTTTGCCCCCTATTGTACAAATAAACTTATCAACTCTTATTATATTTAAATGCTTCAAATCGTTTGCATAAAGGTCAAACCACATAAGTTACATTTTCCACAAAAAATCTCCAAATCTGCTGTAAGAAAATCACCATCTTTCTGCAGATAAAACTTATTGAGTTTATAGCTTTTTGTTATTGAGTTTCGCCTGCAGAAAGAGTGATTTTCTTAACATAGCTATTGTAGTGTATGCACATAATTGTGCCATAGACATTAGACAATATAAGTTACACTGCGGCCCGCCGTTCCCGCACTACGACACTAGACAGTGGTGTGAGCGGACGTATCACACATGTACATGAAGTAAACACATGTTGTTTCATTGAGCTATCCCTATACTAAGTAGCGTAAACGCCACAACTATATAAATAAAAGACTTGTGGAAAATGTCACTTATGTGGTTTTACCTTTAAACAGACGAAATATTATTTCAAGAAAATTTGTGTCTGTTAATAAAGTAACAGTGTAAGTGTTTCGTTGCGCATTGCAGGTACAAGATTTTGTATTTAGAGGTCACACAGGCTCCGTAGATCAGTTGTGCTGGCATGCGTCACACCCAGACCTGCTTAGCACAGCCAGTGGTGATAAATCAGTCAGGATTTGGGATACAAGGTGAGAGAATACTCTGGTTATTCTGCTATGATTACTGCTTCTATCACATGCTAAATAGGCTTCTAACCGCCAAGTTGCGAACACCAGACTACTACACCATACTATTCATTTCACTAGTTGCAGTAGAGCTCCTTGTGAAAGAGTTCATCCAGGGAAGTCCACCTTACCTTTTTCTGTCACCAAGTTGTAATATCAGGATTATTGTGTTCTTGTTAACTTATGGTGACAGGCCCAGTGGCAGTGCCTCTCAGATCTTTGCGATTTAAAGCTCTGAGTGGCACTGCAACAGTTATGGACAGGTGTGTGACCATCAGACGCACAAGTTGTTCATCCCGTCACTTGATATTATATTTTAAAAAATGCACTATGACTGTTAAGGCATATGTACAGAGCTCTTATGCTGATGGCTGTACACTTAGCAACAGGCACTTAGCTAGTGATTTGAAGGGTCTTACGCGAAGTCGACGTAAAGCACGAGATACTAGATACATAGAATCTTGCATAGTAAATTGCAATATCTCACGCTTTTACGTCGCTGTCTACTGGAGCGAGTAATGGAACCCTAATCCTGGGAACAAGGAGTAGAAGAGAATGATGTAATGTGTGTGTGTGTTGGTATTGATCTAAAACTTAAGTAACTTCAGGTGAATGTCAGTGCAAAAGAGAGCTTTGTCTGTCTTTACAGCTTGGTGTTGTTGTTTAAACTACAGTTTCTACTTATTGTCTGTCATGGTGGTCATGTAAATGGCAATACTGAGCCTGTGAGCCGGTGGTACATACTTTAATTAAGTTTTACAAAGATAAATTTTATTCTTAAATTATTCGTTTTAGACTTTTACTTTAGCGTGTTTTCAGGATGTTATGTGATCGTATATAGCACATTTTATCGTGTAACAAATTAGTATTCTTTAAACAATATCCTTAGGTGTAGAGATGCGCCGAGTACAAGTTTTACCGAGTAACCGAGTACTGAATATTACTCTGTTTAATATTTGCCGAACCAAGTACTCGGCCGAGTTACTCAGTTCATTACAACTGGAACGCCATGATACTAAAAGTCCCATTGCTCTAGAATTACCGATATATCAATGAAAGTTTATTGCCGCAGGAGCAGAGTTCTTCCCAATGGTGGGCAGGGCATAAAACAAGGTATCCAAAACTGGCACAGTTAGCACGAGTATTTTTATGTGCACCTGCAAGCACTGTATAGCGAGCGGTTATTTTCCGAAGCGGGTAATGTGTATGAAAAAAAAAGGAACAGACTATTACCTGAACGCGCAGAAAGCCTTGTATTCCTACATCATAACTTGCCTTTGTTAAATTTTAAATATTAATAATGTAAACTTTCTTTTTAAATTACTAAATTGTTACAAATTGTTACAATTGTCTAGAATTTCTAGTAATAAATCTCTATTGATTATTTTAAATATACTGTTAGTTTTACTTTATTATGTCTATAGCTGTAACGCTTTATTTTAACCAAGTACTCTTCTCATGAACCGAGTTATTTGGCCGAGTACGAGTAGCAATCGAGTACTCGGCGCATCTCTACTTAGGTGTATCGTGTATTTTTTGTGAGACCATTATTTAATAGTAAATACCTAAACCATTTGATCTAACAAAACAGTTTTCTCGCTTTTCCTCTCTGGTAACATATTAAACTGTAATGCTTGATTAAGAAACATGTTGTCTCAAGATTTGCATTGATAAAGTCAAGAATAGTAGTATAATGTTGGAGTCTCAATCTGCTTCACATTAGTCTGACATTTATAAATATATTATATGTGTATGCATTGTATATCTGCCGCCCGGTAACTAAAATGTGGCTAAGAGACAAAAGAATTTTTTGAGATATCATAAAAAACCACAAGCGCTTTCACTACTTTCTAGTTTTGGAAATCCTTGTAAATTAGACAACATTTCCAATTGGGGTGCGGCAGGTTTAGAGTGGGATGTCTGATCTTCAGTGTATAATGAGTAACGATGTAGATATTTTGATAATTCATTGTAGAACTTTTTCGTAACTTCATACCAATTATGGCGGAAGTACACGTGACCGACATCTTGATAATCGATCAGTTGCGTATGACTGCTCTCAAATTCCTTCCAATACATAGAGAGCATGCTAATTCTTCTGTTAACATTTGAATAGGTCTTCCGTTCAGGCCCATCCTTTTTGAAATTTATGAGAATTCTCTCAATGTTATGCATTCGCAGAATTTGTTTTTCAATTGAATTCTCCATAATTGATTTTATCTTTTAGAAATGCTAGATATATACTGTTGTTTTAGCTGTGTATTTATAGGACCCTTGTAGGTATGTGCGCCTTCTCAATTCCCCGGTGAGACCCGCTGGTGGGAGGCCGGAGAAACCGATTCGCTACCAACAAAGATCTCCAAAAACACACAAAGCTAAACTGATAATCTACTGATGCTGATGTACTGATGCTGATGTACTGATGCTGATGTACTGATGCTGATGACTTGCTGATTACTGATGCTGATTACTGATGATGAATTCTGATACTGATTTCTGATGATGATTTCTGATACGACGGATAGCTGATACTGCTGCTGATAATCTGATAATTCTGATAGCTGATGATGATGATGTGTTTAGTAGATGTTATTCCACGTTGCACTGATATTGTTACTGCAATTTTATGCACTATCCTCGTGCGGCGAATTCACGTTAGATTTTTACGAAAATTACACACGCGAGGATCCGGCTCGAAGGACCATAAAGATGTACGGTTTGTTCACCTTTCAATGATAAGTCTGATAGGATTTAGAAGTTTATTGCTAAACGAACTGCTTAAATGATAACTGATAGATGAATGTGCGATGGCGAGCAAGTGAGTTTTATAACTAAAGTGCATTCCGTAGTGCATTAACCTAAATAGCGGTCAATGGCATAACATGCTGATCCTGCAAAATGTACGATCGTGTATCGTACAACCCAGTTTTAGAATATTGCAATTGTTTTTAATGATATTTCAGCTATGCATACTTAGGGTAAGTTCCGATAAGTTGAACAACTTAATTAAATGTTAACTGTTTTTAAAAAAGAATTTAGTGCTCTATTTTTTGCAATTTAAATCATAATATATTTGACCATTTTCAACCAGTTTGGGTTAGTGGACGGCAGATATATAGATTGTTTATAGTTAAGTTATGTATAGGATATAAATAATGATCATTGTTATTTATACATTTTGATTTATTTGTGCGTTATTTATCTGTTTTTATTTGTCATGTTATGCACCCCTATTATTTAATCTGAACTCAGCTCTCCAGTTGACTGGTAGAGAATGCAAAAATTGTACATTGTGGCTTCCTTATCTGGTGGTTTGTCATTGTTTTGTATTTACAGTCTCTTAGATAATTATATTGACAATTAAATAACAGGACACACAAATGTGCAGCAACAATACCCACCAAAGGCGAGAACATCAATATAGCATGGTCACCAAATGGGAGCACCATAGCTGTGGGAAATAAGGAGGATTTGATCTCTTTTATTGATACTAAGACTTATAAAGTTGTGAGTGTATTTATTTTATTAACATTTTTATAACATGACGAAAAAATATATTATGTCAATCTGTAACAAATTTACTCTTGAAAATGTTGGCAACTATGCCACCAGAGCGGAAAAATAAATAAGTGACTTCAAGGGTATGCAGTGGGTGAGGATGGATGTAGTGACAAGAGATGAAGGGGAAGTGGAGTCAAGGTCATAGATATTTCAGTTGGGTTGTACATTATGTCATGTTTTTCCCCCTCTGGACACATCCTCAAATGTAGAGTAGGAAGAATGTCTCTGCCTACCCCAAATTGTATCCAAGGGCGTGAATACGAATATAAGGAAATTATTTCAAATGGAAAAATTCAATCACATATTTTTCAGGTCAATGAAGAGCAGTTCAATTTTGAAGTGAATGAGATCTCGTGGAATCTCTCCTCGGATCTTTTCTACTTGACAAATGGGCTTGGCTGTGTGCATATTATGACGTGAGTATACTCGAGGTTGACCAGTTATTTTGACGCTTGACATATTGTGGAATATTGAAGTACTCATTTCTTTTACTGTAAACACCCTTAGACTATGGAATATTTTTTTCCATCCTCTAAGGTAAACACCACACTGACAGTCAAATGTCAATATTAGCACAATGTCAAGGCCTAAAAGTAGTCAGTATTTACTTTAATAAATATTATTAAAACGCCTTTATGCTGCAGTTACATTTAATTACAGTAAAATTGTTGTCAATGTCAAAGTATTATTCATATTGTTTTATCTAGTAAATTTTGACAAATTGTATCTGATTGTGAAACTTCAGGCCTAATGGTTGTAATGGATGTTGTATCCTACACAACCTACCCGTTTTATGACTATTTTTGTTTCCCTTTAATAAAATAAAATACAATCTCTGAACACTTAACTAATTTCACAGCTATTACTACTTTATGTGAAAAGTTGTGATGCAACAGAAGTGTTATAACGGAAACATATCAAAAGTAAATCTTAACGGAAACGGAAGCGGAAGTGTAAATACTATAAAGAACCCAACGGGGATTGTTTTTGGTTTCATAATTTAAGTGCAATTATTACACAACACAAAACTATTGAAAAAACGGGCGCTACACCGCCAAGTAATCCGTACAAGCGCCTGGTCCGTCGCAAATTATTTTTTAAAGTTCCGTTATAAATATTGCGGAAGCAGAACCAGAAGCAGAAGTCTGTTGCAACACTAGTCAAAAGTATGACGGATAATTAGGGCACATTCCCATTATGTCGTAACGTTTTATTTATTATATTTAACTGCCTCCGTGGCCGAACGGTTACCATGCCGAACTGCCACGTGGAGGTCCCAGGTTCGATTCCCGGGCCGGGAAAAATATCTGATCTACATTTATTTATTTCGTGAGTTTGGGTATAATTTGTGGTTGTCTATGTGTGTGTGCATGGCACATGCGGCACAGGGTTTCCCTAGTGCGACTCCGGAGCCTGCATTGCACGGCCTCACTCGTCTGGGGGTCGGGTCGGAGGACAACCGACTCGTCCCTCCGTTCGCGCGGGAGCCCTGGCGCAAGCTAGGGCGGCCGGGCGGCGTCGTGGTGAATGTTCACTGATCCCACGGCGCTGACTCAACCGGCGAGAGGGAAACCCGGGGGGGTTTTAGTACGGTAGGCCTTCCAGTGTGGAGGGAGAGTCCCCACATAACCCCTGAGTCTCCCTGGGCTCAGGGGTATCCATAAAGATTTCCCCCCCGTAAAAAAAAAAGGGTTTCCCTAGTGCGGGGCTAAGTTGAGTGTGTGCGTTATTTTATTTATCGTGAGACGACTGTCGCGTCTAGCCTCCTGTTCCCATATCGCGACTTCTGTCGTGACTGTGTCGTGGACGTTTATTTTATCGTTCAACAACTGTGTCTAGCTGTTTCCATTAGATAGCGCGTGACGACTATTTATCGGTTCACGGTAGCCGCCTTGATCTTTTGCACGATATAATCGTTTGAAGCTGGATTATCTGTCGTGACGTTTTATTTATAGTCTGACGGCTGTCGTTTTAGCTCTTCCCATTGTCTCGACAGTCGTAATCGTGTTGACATACACGACACTTTAAACTGCACGGCTATTTGTCGTCACGACATAATGGGAGCTCGCCCTTGGTAGAAAGTAGTTTAAATGCCATATTTCGTTTTATGTCTAAAATTTTGGCTAATTACACACGTTTTGTGGAGTTTAACACACTTTACTTAACTTTTGGTCACCACATAGATATTTTGACCAACATGCAATCACAATGTTACATTTTGTCTCCAGCTACCCCTCCCTAGAACTGCAGACAGTGCTAAAGGCGCACCCTGGCACATGCATTTGCATCGAGCATGACCCTACAGGGCGCTACTTCGCAACCGGCTCGGCTGACGCGCTCGTTTCGCTCTGGGACAATGAGGAGCTGGCTTGCTTACGAGTTTTCTCGAGGTTAGTATGAATTTTCCTACTTGTGTAGGAAAAGTATACAGTAACGTGGTGTTGCATCCTGGCAAAGCATGGCAACGTGATGTTACTTACAATTTTATCCGAGAAATTTGGCAAAGAATCCTACTTTATATAATTTTTTTTTTATAAAAAATCAGTGCGCTTTTGACTTCCATCTCACCTGATGGAAAGTGACGATGAACTCGACGATGGAGCACACATAAATAATGCCTATTCACTCTCGCCTTGAAAAGACCCAGATTGTACCGTTCGGGGAACAAATCTGTGGGCAGGGAAATTCACTCATAGCCGTTCGCCATATAAATTGTGGAAGCGAAACGCTTCGTGTGAATCCTTGGAATTTCCACATGGGGGTGGAACCCCAGCCTACGTCTGGTCCCCCGATGATCGAAAGGAAATAGAATTTAATCATTTACGACAACTTGAAAAGGAATGTGAAGAGATTAAGTAATTGTCTAATATAAACAATATTAGTTATTATAAGCAATATAAAATGTATAAGTAAAAATAATAATAAACACAAAATATAGTGAAAATGCAATAACGTAAAATAAAATTACAATTTCGTAAAGTCCTATATTTAATTAAGTAAATTTTTTTAATTAATTGTAAGTTATTGTCACTAGCTACAGGTTTCTAAACAATATTATTTTCCCGACATTTCCAAACTGTTGCAAGTGTCATGCTCACGGGTTGACAATCGCACGCTCCATGGTTACGAGTTGACATAAATAAAAAAAACGTATTAGGCAACATTACATACGCTGCTCTGACTCCAAAGTGGATAACTAAAGCACTAGTGTTGTGGAAATCGGAAACAACGACGGTACCACAAACACCCACACCCGAGACAATATACAAAAATTATTTTCTACGGGATCGAGTCCAGGGCCTCAGAGATGGCGACACCACGAAAAGTAGTTTGCAAGCCACGCAACCACGGAGGTCGTCAAACATGAGTCACCCAGTTATTATGAAACGTTTGGGTAATCATCACGCAGGCACACCGAAACACACCGGTGCTGCGCGCCATCACGCTCCTCAACTCCGTTCTCGAGGCGGCACCACACTCTGATTTGTTTGACAGCACGATTGGATGTCTGATGTCTGAATGCAGGAAAGTGTTTGAACCAATGATGCCTGTGAGTTCAATCCTGTGAACTGTATTATGTTTATTTGTTTGTATGTTATTTGATTATATATATTTGATTATATCTTGTTTTTGTTTGTAGCGATTTGGATTTATCTGTAAAGCTACAAATGTTAAATGAATAAATAAATAAATAAATAAATAAATAAATAAACAAGACATCAACATCAAAAGACTCCACTCCACTCCACGCATATAAATTTTACAATGAATAACACTCCAATAGAAACAGTGAATACTTTTAACTTACTTGGAATAACAATTGACACAAATATAAACTGGAAACAACACATTAATAATATCTCAGGAAAACTCAGTAGATTTAGTTATGTATTGCTGCAACTGAAGAGAACCACGGACATAAAAACAGCAACTGCTGCTTACTATGCTTATGCTTGGCTGAGCTATGGTGTAGTTTTGTGGGGCAATAGCACAGATGCTTTGCGCTTGTTCACTCTGCAAAAAAAATGTATAAGAATACTGGTAAACGCCGACCCATTGGACAGCTGCAGGCCACATTTCATTAAATTAAATATTTTAACTGTACCATCATTATACATTTTAGAAATATGCAAATTTGTTAACAATAACATACACTTATTCACCAGAGCAAAAGACACATACACTCAGCCGATGAACCTCAGACATGGAAATAGACTTGCGCTACCTAGCTCGAAATCAAATATGCACAGCTCAGGACCATTTGTAATGGCAATTAAAATTTTCAATAAACTCCCCAATACAATTTCATCCAAATCGCAGACTAATTTATTTAATAAACAGCTTAGAGCACATTTGATAAAAAAATGTTATTACAGTTTAAAAGAGTTTTTTGAAGTATAATTAATTAATATATTTTTTTTTCAATTATTGTTTTAATTACTAGTTTTTACATTTTGTTAGTTATATAAGTTGTCTTAGAAAAAATTGTTAAGTTCTTATTATGTTTTATTTTTATTTTCTTATTATACTTTTAATTGCGGCGCCTTAACAGGGTCATGTTGACACTATGTATGTAAATTTTAAGACCTATGTAACACATGGAAGCAATAAATACTTTACTTTACTTTACTTTACTAATTTTCAGGTTAGTTTTATCTGTCTAATTTTGGTGGCAATTTTTAATATAATAAGTATTTGAGCATTTCTCATGAAATAATAATAGTTATTTGTTATGCAAGGCGGCAAAGTTGTTCTTTAATTAACGCGAGTGGTTGTATTGAAACCTGAGCAATCGACGGATTCTAAGATTGAATCACGAGTGAAGCGAGTGGGTCAAAAATAGAATCCTGAGCGTAGCGAAGGTTTCAAGGCACGAGACGCAACACACTTTTCACCTCACTATAGCGAGGAAAATGGTAGATGAAAGAAAAACAGTTGAACTATAACAAATTAGTTTAGTTCTTCGACGAATTAAAATAATTTAATAAACAAAATTAGTTATCGTTGTCAATTTAATGTCACCAATAATAAGATTAAAATATACCAATGGATTTATATTACATAAATAATGTACGACAAATGAAAACCAGCGCTGCGACTGTCCTGAACAGGAGCAGCACCAACTGGGACACCTCCTTTAATAAAAATTTCTAATACCAAAAATATTTACGTTGTATCTTCAGTGTAGTTGCTTTTTTAAGGTTTTTTTTTGTAATTTCATTTTGTTTATTTTGGAGGCAATAAAGAGAGATTTTATTTTGTTATTATTTCAATCGCGTAGTTGGTCGTGGCACTATGATTTTGTTTTCATTGAAAGAAAAAGTTAGGTGCAACACAGTCCATTGTTTCTAATGAGAAAGAAAGCCTTTACGAGCTAGTTAGGTGAAAATAATATTTCAGGATACTACACTCGAATATTATACTTATAATCATTGACTTACAATTATATGGACGTCGGGTCCGCGCAAAAAGTGTCCGAACTTGTAGGGCGTTAAAATCGTATACAGAGCGTCATTCACGCTTTAGTCTTCGTTTGTTCGACTGACAGCGAAGCAAGCAGAATTAGACAGTACTGCGATGACATTACAATTTAAATTCAACGTTTTAGATTTTTCATATTCCTTTACATGTCACTACGTTTAAATAGGTTGACTTGGGACATTTTTTTCGTGGTTTTTGTATTAAACCCGTCGTCCATTTATTTGTAAGTCAATGCTTATAATACTCTATGATGACACCGAACATAGGTAGAGAAAACTAACCCGAAAATTACCCGTTTAGCGTATTTACCTTTAAGTACATAATTATACTCTGTTAAATAATTTATCTTTATTGCTTTTTTGTTTAGGTTAGAATGGCCTGTACGAACGTTGTCCTTCAGCTTCGACGGCAGACTGCTCGCTTCGGCTAGCGAAGATCATGTCATTGATATTGGTGACACAGAAACAGGTATTATGTTAAACAATCAAGTATTTATAACTTCACAATTATGGTTATTTACCAGAAAGGTTTTAATTTAAATGCGGGTCTGTCCACTGCAACTTTGTCTACTGCAAAAATTAAGAAGAATACGTAATTCTTCTTAATTTTTAATTGTCGTTAAGGATCTTTTTACACCTTGTATAAAAATTATAATTATTATTTTCAGGCGAAAAAGTAGCAGAGATCCCGGTCCAAGCAGCAACGTTCACTGTAGCATGGCATCCGTCCCGCTACCTAGTGGCATTTGCTTGCGAGGACAAAGAACCGCCAGAGCGGAAACGCGATGCTGGCAACCTTAAGCTATGGGGACTGCCTAGTAGTAGTTAGTGTTTGTAACATGAAAACCATTATTATTTAATTACTTTTTTCTTAACGTGTGTCATGGGGATAAAGATGGACAAACGGTCAAACGCTATCAATCAAAGGGCACCGCAAATAAGCAAAAAGAAGAAGATGAAGAAGAATTTTGTTAGTTTGACATACCACTTTTTATATTTTTATTATGGGTATAAAAATAAAGAACGTTTCTATATTCAAGCTTTCCTGCGAGTGCGCATGTACAGTTTAAGGAAAAACTTGTATCGCGCATGACTTCAATGTACAATAAGTAAATGATAAGATTATATATTAAGATAGTAAATTATTAAAATAAAATTTCTTGGTCAGAGAAAAGCCTTTTTACTGGTTACTCTTTGTGTCATCTAATTTCACCATAAATCATCATGATTATACCGGCTGTTGATATAATTGCGTTACCACCCGAAACAATAAAAAATAAATATATAATTTAACAACGCATTTTATCAGCTTTGAATGTTTACAATCATTCTGAATACCCTCGCACCCGAGAATTTCTAAGAATCAAAATGGCATAAAAATATATAAAATAAAATATATACAAAAACTCGACTAATTAAAAAATTTATACTTCCGAAATAGTAAAATATTCCATTCTCAATTAAAAATGTCTTTATTTCTTAGGTAAAACATTTCGAAGAAGTCGTTAATGTAATAATTTAATACTACTACCCATTCGTAAGGCTGATTCTCCTGTAAACAATAAGACATCTAGGGGTTGCTCTTTAATTTAGTAATTAGATATTATAGTCTAATTTGACGAGCGACGGAGCAAAATAACATGCAAGGTTGCCAGTTTTCGTAAAATTTTAAAAAGTCATGTAGATGTTGTCGACAATTTTATCGATAAATTGTGAAAGTAGGTAAAATCTTGCCAAAAATGTCTGAATTGTGAATGTTACGACGTTCTAATGATTACTAATTGCGTTACTGCCTTTTTCTTTCCTATTTTGACAGTTGGCCTACTAGTGTCGAAATCAATTTTTATTGATTCTTTAAAAATTGAAAAACTTTAAAATATGTCTCCTCTTTATATTTTAATAGACTTAGTTCTAAATGCAGTGTATGTATGTATGAACTTACAAAGATTGACAATTCAAATGAACCTGTGGCCAGCAAACGGACGAATAATGGGCTGAATAAGCGTTACCAAAAAAGACAGACTATAGTTCATGTTATCTAAAATACTTAAAACTATCTTTGGTAGAAACAACTGAAAGGGCTAGAGAATGTCATCAAAGCATACAGAAGCTGTGGTGTAATTATATTATCCGGCAAATTCTGAATATTAACCGAAATCTTATTATAGCAGTGCCCCTTAAATGATTTTTTAACTTTGTGAAAACGACCCCTAAGAACAGCTAGTTTATGTTTATTCCTCGTATTAATGTTATGTCCATCACTATTTTACATGAAAAATCAGTATTCTTCTTAATATAAATTACATTCTCATCAGTCACTACTTGTACCCTGTAATGTGTAGCGAATAATTTTTAACTATCATTCTATCTACCCTAAAAATATTCCTTTGATACAAAAGTCTCCACCGTCACCAAGTTTCCACCTGCATTCGATTACAGTTCTCCAAACTCTGCAACATGCTCTTCCCATCAATTTTACTAAGTCCACCAATCTTACAGAAAACATCTTCAACAAATGCGTCACGGACATTGTCAGGCATGTTCTTTGCGTTCCCAGAGAGAAAGATGTAGGCGTTTTCTGTTACTATCAAATGCCATAGAGTTGAGGCGTTTTCAGCTATTTTGTGTTGGACGTAACTGTAAATAAATAGTGATTTGTTAAATACTAAATAGTTTCAAAACTGTGAGGTTTATAGGTGACTCGGATTTAGTGGAGGCGAAGCTGTAGAGACTTGAACACAGCTGTAAAGTTGCCTGCTTATCTGAATTCTACAGGGTTGAGTAATTTTGCGAACAAAGAGTGGAAATTATACAGGAAAAATTTGCGTGTCTTATTCCAGCGAGACCAGGGGTGAGTTTTTGAAATTTTGCTAGCCAGAAAAAAGTCGCTATTTAGTCGGTTCTAGTCGCAAAAAAACTTACTTTAGTCGGTCCGCCTCTCAAAAGTTATAAGGGTGTTTTACTGTCCACGCTGGAACAAGCTTATTCCAGCGGCACCATTTCTTAATCTCGAGAACCACAACACCTAGCCTAGATCTGACTACAGTAAAAAAGTCGTGATTTAGTCGGTTCTAGTCGTAATAAATTAGATGTAGTCGTTACGCCGTTTTGAAGTTATTAAAGTGTTTTACTGTCCACGCTGGAATAAGGTTATTCCGGCGGCACCATTTTTATATCCCGAGAACCACAGCGCCTATCTTAGATCTGATTGCACCCAGAACCGACTAAATCACGACTTTTTTTAGTGTAATTAGATCTAAGCTAGGTGTTGTGTTTCTCGAGATTGAGAAAGGGTGCCGCTTGAATAAGCTTATTCCAGCGTGGAGAGTAAGATACCCTTGTAACTTCTGAACGACAGACCGACTAAATCTAATTTTCTTCGTCTTTTTTTCTGACTAGTCAAATTTCAAAGACTCTACCATGGTCACGCTGGAATAAGGCACGCGAAAAATTTCAGAAAAATTGGAAAAATATAATTCGAAGGCTCATCATCGTCGTCTGGCGCGCCCTGTGCATCAATCGGCGAGTACTTTACCTTACGCCGATTGGCAAATCCTTTTATTTATTTATTATAAGACTCTTGTGGACTTACAGGTTAACTCAAACGTCCAGCAAGATAAATTAAGTTTGATACAATAATGATATCTTAAATATAACAAAACAATTGTAACACAATAAAATGAGGCACAATAATTGGAAATATATAATACAAGATTACCTAGTTTTATAATAATTACAATTTATATAGCGTGCTATTGCAGTTATGAGTTGAGACAAATTGTCCGCGAACACATTAGCAATCTGAATGTGCGTTAGGAACTTATTCAGCGTGATAATAGCCCTTTCCCCACCATGGCAAGTATTACAGTTGTGTGCCATCGATACGATGAGATGACATTCCTATTTTATTAAAAAAAACTTAATTATAACTTACACTTTATTCTCTTGATCCCTCGAAAAAGCGCAATACAGTGATAATTTTTCTTCTTTTTCATACTCCTCTAATTCTTCTCTACAGTGGAAGTCCTTGTTTCTATATCGGCATCCAAAGAATAAATGCATATTGTGTTTAGTCGCTGTGTTTTGTTGTACGCGTTCCTGGAGAAGACTTCTTAATGGGGCAAGGCCTGTACCAGGACCTATGAGGATGTGCGGTGTGACCTAGAACAAGCATCAAAGTACTCACCAACATAAAAATGTATATGGGCAAAATGATATGCATTACCAAAGGCCTCATGTAGAAACTGTAGCGTGTCAACCCCATCTAGCGCGCCTGAAGTGTACTTGCAAGCCTCCGAGCCACAGACCACATAAATACTTCCGTGGTCCGAGCCGACGTCGCGAGGACCACCTACCCCCGTACACTACGGCTCAACTACACTGGCGCAGAGTTGATGCGTCGCGTTGCGTCCTGTTTTTCAACTACAACGCTTGGGGACGCGCGACGTCGCTCGCATTAGTGCGCTCGGATCACATTGTGGTCTGTGTCTGACGCCTCACTGCGCTCAAGTAACCAAGCATCGACGCGCGACTCTATATTTGCATAATACAAATTTGTACCTTAATAATGGGAAAATAGAGATGAATATGCTATAGGCGAAAAACATGACGCGTCGCGACGCTTCGACTCTGCGCCAGTGTGACTTGAGCCTAACTGTAACAGACTAATTGATTATGTCAGAATCAATTAGTCTGTTTTAATGTCGGGGGCACTTTTCACCACTACCTTGTTTGGTTAAAATAATATGACCTTTCCATAACCAATCTATACACCTTATCTCATTGCCGCTATGGCACTCATAGCGGTTCAGAATGAGTCCATAGTGTGAGTCCACTTTGTATTATACAACTTTATAGTGACCGCCAACTCTGTTATACGGCAAATACTCGCCTTTCGAAAGACCTAAGTCCAAAAATGACTTTATTTAATAGGCCGTGGTCGTAGCTTGTCCAAGAGATAGTAATACCTCAAACACAGGCACAAGAAACAAAATGTATTCTAAATGCAAGAATATATACAGGTTCCGGTTACCACGTTGGATCAGATGAAAAAAAAAGAAAACTTACACTGTCCTCAGGAAAGACCAACGTCCCCTTCTTGATCCATCCGTAGACTCGATCTCCTGGCTGCAAGCTCTTTAGCCAATTTGAGCATAATCCCAATCTGAAATATTGAAGATTAACTCTGATGACGTCAGACTTTGCGCGTACAGTCGAACACGCGAGACTAAGGGCGTGTACCCATTATGTCGTGACGACAGATAGTCGTACAATTTAAAGTGTCGTGACTTGTATATTTAAATGAAGTTGTTCACATATAGTATGTACAACACGATTAACTGTCGTTCACGATTTTTTTGACGTTACGACGACAGACTTTCATGACAAATAAATAAAACGTTACGATAAAAAATGTGACGACAGATAATCGCAGTTTCAAATGATTCTGTCGTGCAAACGACAAGGCGGCTGCCGTGAACCGATAGTCGTTCAACAATAAAATAAACAACAAAGTCACGACAGATAGTCGTGATATGGGAACAGCATAGACGCGGCAGTCGTCCAAAAGGGTACATTTAGGCTACTTTGAGGGTAAACGAGTGATCGGCGACTCGGCGATGTTTAGGCAATGTTTGAAATAGGAAAAGGCGATTTTAGGCTACTTAATGAAATGTCTGGGGAATTAAAAATATTATTGGGGATTTTGTGGGGAATGGAGTTGTAAAATAACTCATTTGGGGGTTTGAGTATTTCTACGTGTGGGGAATTGGGGAAATAAGAGAGTTCATAGTTTGCGCGGACATGGTATCTTCAAGGTCCCTGCTGAACGCACCACCGTTAATTTGTGTCACCAGTCTTCGCGTTCGTCAACATTTTGCTACTCGGCTCTTGTTAATTTCCAATTGAAATTACCGTGTTTCTACTGACCTGACGTTATTAACATCTTTTTTGAATAAGAAACCTACTAACCTAACGAATATTTAAGAATCGATACTCAATCTCGAACTCAATTTTTTCCCGTACTATTTTATAATACGGTTCATTTTGCTTGGGCCGAGCCCCTGCCGCACTGGCTTTATTTCAGAATTTATTACATATTTTACAAGCGAAATTTAAGCCATTTGAAAAATGTATATCGTATACTATATGTATGTGTTCTTTATATTTAAAAAATCATTGGTATATATAGTACCTATTGAATACAGCGGTATTCTTGAAAATTTTCGAGGTAAGTTTGTGTTGTTTTCTATCGTGAAAATGTTTAGGAATCGTGTTTTCATACTGATTACATAAATAATGTACAACAAATCGCGTAGTTGAACGTGTCATTTGGTTTTTTTTTCATCGAAAGAAAAAGTTAAGTGCACCACAGTCCATCGTAAAGTTCGAGTTTCAAAAATCTTTTCCACGCTAGCGTGCAAAAAAACGCTTTTGCGCGCAGATTTCGAATGAGGTGAAAAAGAAGATTTGATACTGGCAGGAACATGGAATTGATTGCTCTTTCAGAATTTTACTGTTGACCCGGTTATTGATTTTTCGTTATGTAGACTGTTTTCCTTTTTGAAAAAATTTATAGTAAAATTTAGGATATACACTGGCATATCCTATATTTTAGTATACATTTTTTCCAAACTGTTTGATTCAACACTTTCACTGTTATGCGTATAGACTTTAAGTCGAATTTTTGCTCGACATGTTTCAGACCGTGGTCCTTATTTTGTTGTTGTTTTTATTAACTGAAATTGTTATTAACATCGTACTAGATTATATATTTTACCATGACTTTAATTTCTAAGTTACATATATTTGTGAATGTTTATAAGCAACACCTCTCAATATGATGAAAGAAAAACATAGTGGTGAAAAGGTGGTGAAGTCACCAAGGCGCATTGAACTAGCATGCTATTGCCTAAACCTTCTAGAGGTGACCTGCTTACCTAGGTTTTTTCAACTTGCTGTAATATTTAACGACAGCTACAAGTAAGTCTAAACACCGTCCCTGTTGTACACTGTTGGTGCTGGCTATTGAGAAGGAGCGCGGCTTGATTGAAGAGAACAGCTCGAAGAGAACTTCGATGGTTAATTTTGTTGCAGTTTTGTGGAAGTCGTGCAGAACCTGTAGAGAACAATGGTGGTTAATCTACAGGGTATAGCGTTTGTACCGTGTATGCCTTGTTACAACACTCACCTCAAGAATGGTCCGTCTGGGTCTCCTACAATAGTTCAACCAGTCCTCTTGCCCTTCAGGTGAACTGAGCTCTATACATTTGTCCCTCTCTAACTTGTCATCAGAGATCAATGCGAGAAGAGAGAAGACGTATTGTGTTGGGTAAGCCTTAAGGTCCCAGTATTGTTCAGCTATTTCGTGGAGTGTTAGTGGTGTTGATAGGAATTGTGGGACTGGCATGTCTGGAAAGGAAATATTTATTTATTATGTCAATATTATGTCGTACTGTTGGAGTTTAAATCTTATAAGATTAAATGGATGAGATACATTTGTCACAAAAAAATGATGTGAAGAGTAGTTGTTCCGAAGTGTGTAAGGTTCTGTGGAAGACCAGACAATCAGTTTATAATCAAATTTGTAGTATGGAGAGATCTACCTAAATTAGTCAAAAAATGGGCTGCGTGAACCGAAAACGAAGTTCAAGTGCTTCTTCAGAGGCTGCGTTTGTGAAAATGCGAGGTGATGTAAGGTACACCAAAGGGGCAATTCAAACATTATGTATGTAGCGAACCTAATGGGAAGGAAATACGTAATACAACAGAACTAGTGGGAATAATCGGACAGAAACGACAGATCTACTGGGAATCATAAATCCCATTTGTTCTGTTAATAGAACAAATGGGATTTACGATTCCCAGAAGAAAAGTGCCAGTAGTCCTGTCAACAGAACTAGTGGGACTAGAACTACTATTCTTATTTCACATCCCAACAATGTATATTATCCACAAAATGATTGGGAGGGTTAATGCGCAAGCGATTCCTCGCGTGATTTTTGCCAATAGGTACGTTTCGTTTCTTCATTCACCGAGGATGATTTTGCGTTGCTAAATACAATCTCAGGGTGTAGCCGCACGAATTA